CAGTCATCTCAAACTTAATATGATAAAATTGAAATCTTAATCCCACTTTCCAAGAAAAAAAAAAAACCTTGCTGTAATCATGGTCAAACTTTATCTCAGTTAATGGCAACTCCATTATTCCAGCTATTCAAGCTAGAAGCCTTGAAGTCATCTTTAATTCCTCTCATTCGCTTATCCTTGTCATTCATTCATAGTGGTTATGTTGTCTCTACCTTCAAATTAAAACCAGAATCCTATAATTTCTTACCACTTCCACTGCTACCATCTTGGCAAAGCCACACTATCTCTCATCTAAGTTATTACAATAACCACCAGTTGGCATCGCTGTTTGTCCCCCATCTCCCTACCTCTGCCTCAATACTCAATTCTCAGAGTTATACTTTTAGAACATAAGTCAGACTATGTCACTACTCTACTCAGAACTCTCTAATGAGTCATGATTTCACTCAGAGTAAAAGCCAAAATTCGTATAAAGCTAACATTTACAAGGCCTCCTCTCCCACCCCTACTCCTACCACCATTATCTGTCTGACTTCAGCTCCAATGATACGCCCTCTTGCTCCCTCCTCTCTGTCCAAACTGGTCTATCCCTATTCCTAGAATATGTTAATCAGGCTTTTGCCACAGGACCTTTGTATTTGCTGTTCTTTCTGCCTGGAATATGTTCTCCCCAGATATCCTTATGCCTTACCACCTCTCCTTCAAGTCTTTGTTCAAATGTTACCTTCTCAGTGAAACTTTCCATTGTAGATAAATTGTTTTTTCTCTGTGGTAGCTTTTAGTATCTTCTCTTTGTAGAGTGGTCTGCAGTTTGACTAAAATGGGAATAGTAGTGGATTTTTCTTTTTCTATATAACTGTTGTACTTGGGATTTGTTGAGATTCCTAAACCAAAGGATTCGTGTCTTTCAACAGTCTGTAAATTTCTCAGCCATTATATTTCCAAATACTGACTCTTTCCCATTTTCTCTATTCTCTCCTTCTAATATACTAATCAGATGTATGTTAGCTCTCATTCTGCCTTCCATGTCCCTTAACCTCCTTTTCATACTTTTGATCTTTTATTTCTTTGTATTTGAACCTGAATAATTTTCTCAGACCTATTTTCAGCTGAACTTCAACTGCCATTAATCTCTTTTTTAGCCTATCCATTAAGTTTTTTCTTAATTTTAATTACTATGCTTTTCATTCTTTAAAGTTCCATTTATTTCTTTTTCAAATCTGCAAGTTCTTTTTTATACCATCTTGATTTTTTTCTTTATGTCTTTGTAAACATACTTAGTTTTAAATAACAATAAACACATCTGTGACACTATGTCTGGGCACTTTATAGATACTAATTTGTTTAATCCTCATGACAACCCTGTGAAAGGAAGTGGTGGAAAGAGAAATTAATCAACTTGCCCAAGATCACCTGGACAGTAAGTAGAATGCCTGGACTAGAATACTGGCAGTCTGGCTTTAAAGTCCATACTCTTAATCACAATATTTTACTATCTCCTGTAAGCTGAGTTGCCTTCTGAACATTGTGTTACCAGAAATTCTTGCTTTTTGTTATGTTTGCTGATCCTTGCTCATTGTGGATTGTTTCTTTGTGAAGATCACTTTTCAGTTACTGTGGGAATTCTGCATGGGCCCAGAGGAGTTTTACATTGTTTTGTCCCAGGGACATCCCCAGCCTAGAACCACTTTTAATGTCAATTCCTTAGCTTGGACATTCCTGGACGCAGGGTATAGATTTGAATTCAACATAAAGTATAATCTTGTCATTATAAATTCTCAGGAAAGTTTTTTGTCCCCACCCAGACCCAAGAATAGGCAGACAAGCTTCCTTCTTACCTCCCTGTGAATGGTAGTCCACATCTGAAGTCCATCCTTCAAAAGGTGTAGCCTTTTGAGGACCTTAGCTTTATTTGGAAATTTCAATTCTAACTCCTTATCTTATACAGATTCCAAACCCTTCTCTCCCTATAGGGGATTAAAACTCAAGTCACTTAATTTCTGTGACTGATACCCCTATCTCTATCCCACTATATTCCCAGCCATGGCGGCTTCAGTTTAATATTACATGTTTAATGCCTTGGTTTTATGTTCTCTCTTTGTTTTAGGTCCCTAAGGACTCGCCTTACTTTCTTGTGAGCTCAGCTATGCATTTAAAAGCTAGCATTTATCACCATGAATCATCTCTCTCCTTACCCCCGCCAAAGAAACTCTCCTTTTATATTTGTTAGTATTGTTGTTACAGAATATATCATCACCAGCTGGGTCATTTGGCAAAGGAGGTATTTTTTCAGACTGTGGGAAATTGGTAATTCGGATATAATATAGAATACATTTTCTTTTAGCTGTCAAAAACAAGGCTCTGCATTTAAAAATATACTTGTTATATTTTATGTAACTTTTTAGGTGTGTGGCAGAGGATTTTCAGAATACTTGGTCTGGCCATATTGCCAGAAATGGAAATGTGGCAGTCATAATGCAGCTGTCCCCTGGCCATGACTGACTGGTCTAAGATTGGGCATACCAAACTTTCCTGTGTTTTTACACATACTGTTCACTCTGCCTGGAAGAGTGTCTTCCATTGTCACTCTCTCCCTTGATCTATCTAGCCAACATATGTTTATCCTCAAAACTCAGCCCAGAAATCTTTTTCTTCTTTTCAAAAAGACCTTCCTTGTTTCTCTCCAGGTGGACTTAGTCCCTCCCTTCTTTGTATTTTGCAGGTAGTTTTCTTGTTGTGCTTATTAAGGTAATAGCTTTAAGCATTTATTTACCTATTTATTTTCTTGCTAATTTTGAGTTTCTTTAGTGTGAAAACTGGTTTTATTCATCTGTGTACTTCCAGCACCAAGTGCGGTGCTTGGAGCTGTTAAGTGCTCAGAAATGAACTTCTAAAGGAAGAGTGAAGAACTGGGCTCAAAGGAAGTGAAGATGTGAAATGAGACTCTGGGTGGAAGAGGTGGGTTTTAAAGACAGTCAGAAATGCCTTTGGAAAGAGGGACCTGATGGCTTATTACCCACAAGTTTACCCTTTGTCACCTTCATCAAAAGCTTTTCTGCCTACTCAGAAATCCTCTCAGAGTTCCTACAGAAGTTTTTGGGCCTCTCCAAGACAGCTGGTACAACCCCCAAGATGTCAGATCTGGATTTGAGGTTTCCCAACTACCTTCCACTTCCCACATCCTCTCCTAGTTTACCAGCACCTTTTACTTCAATAATTAAAGGAGCACCTCCACATGTACTAGCTCAATTACTCTTAACAATACTGTTGACAAAGAGTTATCTCCCATTTATAGATGACAACAGAGCCTTAGAGAGGTTGAGTCTTGCCCCAAATCACACAACAGTAAGTAGCAGTGCTAGGATCTGAATCCTGCTTATTTAACTCCAAAATCCACATTCTAAACATGGCACTGAACTGCCTGATTTCCAGCAGGTCATAGGATAAACTTGACAATTTTGAACGTGTGCTATGAGTAGAGCTGTGTGATAAATCTGTTTATGAAAAAAAAATTAATATGTGGAGACAAAGTTAGGGATGACCCCCATGAAAATATAACCTGTCCTAGAGTAGTAACAGGCAGGGAATATTCACCAAACACTGACCTACGCCTGGCATTTATTTTATCTCATATTTCTATAAGGTAAGTAGTATTAACCTTGTTTTATAGGTTCTCCAGTTTTAGGGAGGCTCAAGAGCTAATGGTTAAATGCTTTGGACCCAGACCTACCTCGGTTCAAATACTGATTCACTTCTTACCAAATATGCCAAACTTGAAAAAAGATGTTCTGTAACATGGAGAAATCTGTAAAATGGGGATACTAATACCCACTTAAAGGATTTTTGTAAGGATTAAATCCTATTACAGGTGAATGAACCTAACACAATGCTTGCCATGTGATAAGTCCTCGATAAATGGTAACTTTCTGCACTAAAGTCAAAAGAGATTTGGTAATCTGCTCAGATACACATATCCAGTTATATGGTAGAGCCAGGATAGGAACTCAAGTCTTCATAATTTCAAAACTCCACATTCTTTCCATTATACAATTTTGGCAGGATATCTGAAGTCTCAATCTTATATTTTTTCTAAGAGTCCAGAGTCTTGACTTTCCAGATTAGCATAAATGTTAATATATTTCTATTATACATTTAATACATACTCATAAAAATATAAATTAATCTTATTACACCATCTAGAATTAACTATTAATACTGTTTTATTTTCTTTTCATCTTTTTTCCATTTTTTTCACAATACTACACAGTTCTGCATTTCTATCTTTAAAATTTGCCTTACATCATGAAATTTTTCTCAGTATAAAATACTCCTGAAACATGGCTTTACTGGACTTGCCTCAGTTTCTGCAGCTTCCTCCTGTTCCTGGCAGCTGCCTGCAGGGAAGTTCACAGGTAGGGACCAAAATAGGGCCAGACACAAGCCTCCTGAATGCAATCTTATATCTGACACTCCAGAGGAGGGCTGGGGTGAGGGGAGTAAGGATGAGGCCAGGGATTGAGACTTGACCTTGGGTGAACCCTTTACCCCACCATACTTGCCTCAGAGAAGCACTAGGCAAGAACTCTGGCTACATCAAAATAGCACAAGATCCGGGCAGCCCAGAACATCTACAAGATAATCACTCCATCACAGAATCCTTTCTATCTCACCGCTGACAAGCTTGTACTGAACCGACAGCATAAAAATTTCACTTCATGAGAAAGTTTCACCTCAAAGTGATAGCTACATCAAGGGTAATCATTGAGCCTGGTGATCAAGAACTCAACTCACAGAGAAGTGGATCTCTTTCTCTTCTGGTTTTTGAGGAGGCAGTTTGGGGTTTAGTACACCCTCATGCTGCCTCAGTATCATGTGATGGTCCCCTCTGCATCTGCCCTCCAACTCTTTTTGAATAAATGACAACTGACTCATTTTCAGAGAAATGACTAACCTCCCTTATGTTGGCCAGGGGTGTTGGGATAGTGTGTGATGTCTCGGTGATTTTCTAGTGTTGGTTCTTCCCTCGAGGCTGGGAGATGACAACCATCATTCCAGGAATTCTTAATAAATTTTTATTACTTAAGCTGAAAAACAAACAAACAAAAGAGATGATTTAAAATGTCTGCTTATTTCATCAAGTGAAATTATCATAAATTACTTAACTATCATTTACTTGTTTCCAATTTTGATAAACTCTGCAAGGTACATCCTTTGAAGAAAATCTTTGCATTTCTGATTTTTTTCTCCAGGATAGATTTCTGTGATATTCTGCGTCAAAGAGGATGGAGAGTTTAAAGGCTCCCAATTCCTCAAGAATTTCTGGGTCAAACAGGATGGACCATTCAAAGCCTTTCAGTCAGCAATGCCAAACTGCTTTCAAGAAAAGCTCCAACTCATACTCTCATCAGCAGTACAGAAGTGCCTGGCTCACATTAATAAAAAGAACTGTGTTCTTTCGATAAATGTGAAATGTTCAGTTTAAACTTCTATTTCTTTGAATAGTGAAGCAGAACATTCTTTCCTTCCATTTATATTTCTTCTTCAGTGAACTACCTGTTCCTATCCTTTGGTCGGTTCTCTATGAGGATATTGTGTTTTATCCTTAGAATGTTGTCACAACACGAAATTTTTTTTTTAAAAACAGAAACCAACTGGTTGCTAGTACATGACTGCTCAACACCAGCAAAGGTCCACATAAGCGCGTTCGCCCACTAGCGAAGTTCCGAGCCGGCAATCGATCTTTAAGCTCCTCAGCGGACGCTACACTTCTTCGAATCACTAGGGCGCGAATTGCTCCAAAGGCGTTGGCTCTCCCAGCCTCGGGAAGAACATCTCGCGGGATCTCTGCCGTCCGGGAATGGGGCGGGGCGCGGAAACTGAGGGGGCTGACCAGACTACAAATCCCAACATGCAACGCGCCTCAAGGCTCGCGCGCTCGAATGAAGGCTAAGGTCCAAGGTCATGTGTCTTTCTGCGGAAGGCGTCCGGTCATCTCTCCCACGCCTTTTTCTGCAGCTTTCCACCTTGGCCGCCATTTTGTGCGGGATGTTACGGAACCTCTGAGTCCAGCCGACTCTATGGTCGAACACTTCAGGGATTGACCAATCGGAAGCCTTTTCTCGGAGAAAAACCCCGCCTTTACCCGCATGGAGGCGGGAACTGCCACGAAGCTCCTGTGGAGAGAAAGGAAGAAGCTGCGGAAAACCACTAAGAAAGGAGGACTTGAGGATGTTAACCAATGAAGGCGTGGGGGATTGCGGCCAATGAGAGTTGGGGGAGCCCCGGACACGTGGGTCGGGTAGCTGAGCTCTGAGTCCTAGGGCTAAAGCCGGGAGGTGAGTCAGTCACCTTGAGCCGGGCGAGCGCTGTGGTCCTAGCAGGGGCAGCAGGGCAGTGGGAGTGCAGGTGACTTGGGGCCGAAAGCCATCAAGCGGCAGGGTTATGTGGAGGGGCATTTGCCCCTCGGGCCGGGAAAGGCGATGGGGGTCTATAGCCTTAACAATGTTAATTACCAACGGTAATGATCGATTAACTGTCCCAGCAGGCCGTGGACAGCTGTGTAAAATGGGCAGGAGCCTGAGCGGCACCTGCCTAGTTTCTGCCTCCAGTCTTCCCGCGAGACCATTCTCTTTGGGCAACATTTCCCTCCTGGGGCTCGGGTCTCCTTCCTCTACTTTCGATCTCCATGACCTTCCTTTGCAGACCTGTCGCTCTAAAAGTGGTGGACCGGGAGTTCGCGCTGTCCCTCTGACCTCTAATGTTCTCCTCATCTGGGGCACGGTTCGAGGAAGAGCGTGGTCCGGGGACGACAGGCCGGGTGAAGGGGACGACCGAAGGTCGTCACTATAAGCAAACAACCAGGCTGTCAATGGATTTTTTTTTTTCTTCTGCAGACTGAAAAAAATGCAGACCACCAGGGCGCTACTCATTCCTCCTGCTCTGGTAAGCTGCTCCTCCGGGGTGGGAGACTTCATTGTTTAATGAATGAATTGAGAGGAGCTTGGCATCCTGATGATGTTGCCCCTTTAGGGAAGCTGTTGGATGTGATGCAGTTAACCTCTGATTACTTGGGCCTGTAAATCAATCTATCTTGGCTTTGGAATGTGTTGAGAGTCTGGATCTGACCTTTACCCCTAGTCTGGCTTGGCCATAGCTGGACAGTCCACTGAAACAGTGATTCTCAAATTTGGCTGCACATTGGAATCACCTAGGGAGCTTTTAAAAATCCTGATGCCCAGGCTGCACCCTGCGAGGTGGAATCCATGCATCTGTATTAGGACTGCAAAATTATATTTCTTGAAATAGCGCAAGAAAGCCTCCTTACAGGAGTCTCTGCTTAGGTGGTTGTTTCAGGAGCCTCAGCTGACTTGCTGACCCACTCCATTCAGAATGTGTAACAGTGACTACATTTTAGCATAATAATATTTTCCCCTTCTGATTTCTTTGGTGATCTGGATATAAACCTTCTTTCCTGTACTTGGTTTGATGTTAGTGTGGGGTTTTGTTCCATTCTGAATTACTGATAAGGGCTGTGCCCATGGAAGTGAATTTTATCACTCAGTTTTAAATGGGAAGGTTGCTACTGCTGACTACACCAGGGTCTCAGGACAGCTGTCTCTGGTGCAGGCCTGACTGGTACACATAGGACTACATTAACTGACCTTGAAACAGAGTAGGCTTGTTTTATTTATAATATTTGTAGTTATTTTTCACAGAAGCTCAGCACTTAGGGCTTTTTGGTTTGTTTGAAGGTTTTTTTTTTTTCTTGCCTGATTTAGGGGAGTGTGTCTTTCTGATTTTATAGATCCGCTCTTGTACCAGGGGTCTAATCAGGCCTGTGTCTGCCTCCTTCCTGAGTAGGCCAGAGATCCCATCTGAACAGGTAATGGAGAATGGGTCCTCTTAAGAATTTCCCTAGACTGGGGAACTTTAAGTAAGTTGAGTTGCCTTTGGGCCAAAGTGGGAGGAGTGTTAGAGAATCTGTGGTGCTTTAATAGTTCTGAGTAGGTGAGGTTCTTGGAAAAGTGAAGTTTCCCTAGCCCTATCTGGAAATGGACCCCTAAGACTAATTCCCAGCATGCTCTGCAGTCTGAGCGTTCCGCACTTCCTAAGCAATTTGCCAACAATTTCAGGGCTCAGGTGGGTGGGATGGGGGGTGGAGTCAGCTACCTGTCCTTGTGCCTCACTATCTCCCTTCCTCTCTCTCTTTCTCTCCTTCCCTCTCTACCCCTCCTTCTAGCCTTCCAACAGCAGCATCCTGCTCCAGGTGGCCAGGCGGGAGTTCCAGACCAGTGTCGTCTCCCGGGACATTGACACAGCGGCCAAGTTTATTGGTGCTGGGGCTGCCACAGTTGGTGTGGCTGGTTCGGGGGCCGGCATTGGAACAGTGTTTGGCAGCTTGATCATTGGCTATGCCAGGTAAGTTGGGGTGGCCTCAAGCATCTCCTACTGTAAATTTCACCCTATTTGGAGGAAGCCTCAGCAGAGATCCTTCTAGCTTTGAGTTGATTTCATCTACCTGTTTTTTTCCAGTGGCCTCTGAATCAGAATTTAAATAAATGTTTCCAGCCTGGCTCATTTAAACTCACCATGTTGGTACTCTGCTTGTCTGTCCAGTCCCCACGATATATGCAAGCTAAGCCCTCTCCCAGTTTCAGCACTCCCCATTCACTTAACCTGCTTGCATCCTCCATCACCACCACCCATGACCCATGCCCTCACCCCTTCCTTCTCTTGGACTAGCTTCGGTCTCTCCCCGGCAGGAACCCGTCTCTGAAGCAGCAGCTCTTCTCCTATGCCATTCTGGGCTTTGCCCTGTCTGAGGCCATGGGGCTCTTCTGTTTGATGGTTGCCTTCCTCATCCTTTTCGCCATGTGAGGCTCCATGGAAGTCGCCTACCCATCCCTGCTGCTTCGACCCCAGGCCATGCCCGGTGCTGGAGTGGGCTAAGCTTTACCATTAAACACAACGTTTCTCTAAACCCATATGCCTGCGCCTCTGTCCTTTGCCCTTGGGTAAGGCCTTCATGGAAAGGCGGGACAAGGGAAGTGGGATTGGGTCAGCCATTGGTGATTAGGGTCTCCTCAGGAGTGAGAAGCAGCACTGGTGTGACTAAGAACATCTCCTGGGGGAGCATGGATTTGTGTAATATTATTGGTGTGATAATTTGGAAAATATTTGAGGGGCTTAATTTGCACCAAGCTCTGTACCCAGTGTTTTACATTTGTTATCTCAACAACCCTATGAATTATAAGCACAATGATTATACCTGTTTTGCAAATGAGGGGACTGATGCTTAAGGAAGCAAAATAACTTGTCCAACATCACAGACTGGTAAGTGGCAGAACTGAGGACTCCCCCCTCAGGCCGGCTTTAAACCTTTACCTGCTGTGCTGTCCCATCTGTTTTCGTTTTGGCCACACAGTTGAGGTAGCACAGATAGGGAAACTTCATCCCAAAGAAGTTGTATAGCACGTTAGAGGTGGAGGGAGCCTCCATCTGCCTGCACTTAGCCCCACTTGTAAGTTTCATTTTTTGTTCCCAGCTGGCCTTTCTTAGAGCGCCTAAACGTGCTTGAGTAAAGCAGATAAGGGACACAGTCTCGGTTCGTGGGGGCTTTACAGTCTTTTATCCCTATCTTTGATAAGGATGAAAAGGGTGTTTTGAGGGGTGAACCAACTAACAAGTTGTTCAGAGAGCTCCACACAGCATCTTCCTTGTGGTCTCAGTCTGTGCCCAGCAGGTGCCCCCAACTTGGCTACAGTGGAACTGAAGACCCAGGTAAGAGAAAGCTAAGCTGATATATCCACAGAATGAACTTAGGTGCTGGTAGATATTGTCTGCCCCAAATTGGGTGGTTTCAAAAGGAGTAATAACATAAGTGGCACCCATTTTTTGAAAACCTTATACCTCAACTTACTGCAAAACTGACTAGTGAGACCAAGAACATTCCTAATTAGTGTTAACACCTTCCAGCTGACGGGTAGCTAGCAAAAAGGGTTAAAACACCAAAATATGTGAGTCAAAAAGAATGGATTCAATTTATATGCAATTTAAAGACAGTCATACAGGTATTTAGGTGTTAAGCATCCTCCTAGGAGTCTTGGGAAATGCTAAGAAACCAACAGAGTGGAAACAATACTGAACAATGCCATAAATTGTTGACTATGTGGATACAAAAGCTACGTGCTGTAGAAGAGGAAAAGCCAATGTTGGTTAGAATATCAGCTAACACTTGAGCACTCCTATGTCAGGTGCGGTGGTAAGTATTTTCAGTGAATAACTTCTAACATCCCTATGAAATAAGTCATTCTGTAAGTAAGGAAACAAGGGAGTCTCAGACGTGAGGAATCCTGTGAAGGTCATACAGCTGGTTAGTAAAGCTGGGATTCAAACTCCAAACCCATTTTCTAATCACCGTGCCGCCTCATCTAGGGTTCAGTGACTTACTCAAGATCATACAGCAGGCCAGCGATTTCAATCCAAGTCCATCTAACATTCATCATGGTCTTCTACCACAGGATTTCTCACCCTTGGCACATTTGTGAGCAGCTAATTCATTGCTGTGGGCCATCCCATGCGTTGTATGATGATGTTTAGCAACATCTTTGGCCTCTACCCACTGGATGCCGGTACCAACCTCTCCCCCAGTTGTAACAACCAACTGCCAAATGTCAGATATTGACAAATGTCTCCTAGCTGCAGGGCAAAAAATAAAGAAAAAAAAAATCACTCCCATTTGAGAATTGCTGGTCTACCATGATCTGCTGCTTGTCCTCTTAGCCTCTTCACCTTAAGTAACACTCAAGATTGTCTACAGCAAACCAGTGACAGAACCTGAAGCAGAGCCCAGGAAACTCAGGGCCAAAGAGAAAGAACTGACTGAGGTTAAAAGGGCAGCTTAAATCACCAAGGCTGCAATGGATTAACTGGTAATGTTGTTACGCAAGTAGAATGCAGCAACCTTTACGAGTGTCAGGCTGGCATCCCCTCCAGGCCTCTGCCCTCTGGAGATAATCAAGGAGCAGCCCCCAGGGAAGATGGTTGTCTTTTATTTCCTGTGAAACTCCAGGAGCCTATTTTTGGCCAAGGGGCTGGTAAGAATTTCCCTTCATCATGGGCTCCAAATAGCTTTAGAATTGTCGGACTTACAAATCATAATCAGCAAGGTTGGGAGTGTGATTGGTGGGCCCATGGAGCCTTAGAGAATCAATGGAGAATACTCTCTCACCTCCAACCAGGCAATTAGTCCATTACCACTGAGGTTTTTTAAACTAAGGTCTGTGGCCCATGGGTGGAGTCATTTTGCTTAGTGCAAAATGTTTGTGAGTGGATACAGAGGTGCATTGTTCTTGAGAGAGGGTCCATTGTTTTCATTATACTCTAAGAAGGGTGACCATAAGACATCACTACTGCCTCAAGAGTGCAGCATGGTGGCAAAGAGCATTGACTTGGGAGTTAGAGGGGAATGCAAATCTCAGCCCTGCTACTTCCTAACTGGGAAGTTAATTATCTCCTCTCAGCCTTGATGTCCTCATCACTGAAATGGGGATGAGAACAATTCATGGTTGTTGTGACAACGAAATAAGAATACAGGTAAATATAGGCAAATAATGATATATGCAATGTATACATGTACAGTATTAATGAGATATATGTAGTATAAGATATTAATGGGAGGTGTATAATGAGATAACATAATGCATGTATTATTAAATTTAAAAATATAGATCTTAAAATCAGAAGCCTCAAAACAGTTCAAGTTATGATTTTTCCTTTTAGTCCCCAATTTATGACCTAGATGGGAACTCCATCTTTCCTTGGCATTGAGCCCAAGACAAATGGCTAGGACAGGAGTTAGGGGGTATAGCTCAGTGGTAGAGCATGTGCTTAGCATACACTAAGCATGAGGTCCTAGGTTTAATCCTCAGTACCTTCATTAAAAAAAGGCTAGGTCCTGGAGGGGAAGGATTGCTTCAGAGGGCAGTGGGACACAGGTCCTTGGGGAAAGGGAGAAGGATCTTCACAATGTATCTTTTTAGAGAGGGTTGAGGCACAGCAGTGACCTGAACTCCAGGATACTTGCTGGCCTCTGTCCTTGGGCATGAGTGCTTGCCGGGAGCCATGAGCGAGGTGCTACTGAACTTTGTTACACTAAGAGATGGCTCAATGCAGGGAAGTCCAGTGCGCTGGGGAGGAGAGGCTTGGATCCAAATTCCTGCAGGAAGACCATTCAGTTGTGTCATCCATCCCCAGAAGGCATGGGAGTGGCTCCAGAGGGCAAGCTGCCAGGGAAAAGCAGCCAGGTGTTGCCTTGAAGAAGTCAGTGAGCACAGGACTAAGCACTGCCAGTTTCCTTGGGAGCTGGGGAACTGGTCCTTTAAGCAGCTGCAGCCCTTCAGGCTTTGACTTTTCTTTGTACAAGTTTGGCTCTTTGGAAAGAAAAGAGGAGGAGGTGAAATCTTGAAGACCCATGGCCAGGGGAAGGGCCACTGGCTACCATGTCTTCATTTCCATTCTGTTTACCATTTCTGCAGTACTCAGTCAATGTCAGATCCCAGAGATACAAGACTGGTGCTCCACGCTTACTGCCCTAGAGACGTCATATGTAGTAGCGAGACAGATGAGTAACCAAACCACTCAAATAAAAAGTAGTGTGTGCTATAATAAAGATATGAATTATTCCAGAGGATGGAGTAATTAAAAATGAGTAATTAATAATATGCCTAGAGGTGTTAAGGTTTAGCAGAGAAAGTAATATTCCAGCCAGCCTTGAAGATGAATAATAATAATAATAAGGGTTAGTAATTATTGAATATTTACTCTGGCCACATATTGTGCACATTCATAATCACATTATCTCTTTTTTATGGCTACTGTTATTTTACTAATGTTCCTAATAGAGGAATAGAGGCTCAGAGAGTTTAAACAACTAGGATTTCCCCTAATAGACTAAAGGGAAAGGGTATTCCAGGTAGAGAATGTGAACATAGGCCTGGAGGAGAGAAGGCACAATGGGCAAGTGAGGTGACAATTATCTGGGCATTCCTTGCCACTTTACAGAACATTTCTAGAAACGCCACACTTAATCCTCAGAAAAATCCTGAGAGGTAGTAACTATCATTATCCTATGATGCAGGAGTAGGCTCAAAAAGGATATTTGCAGAGTGATACAGATCAAAGGTTGAACCTTTCTTCTGGATTTAAGGTAAGTGGTTTTTGCACATTGTCATATTACTAACAGACCTTGTACTTGAAAATAGTGGTCCAGTAGTAAGGTGGGGACCCATGAGGAATCCTCTCACCCCATGGGCCACCTTTGGGCCTCTGTGGTCTGTAGCCATGGAGAAGCTACGGAGTAGTGTTTTTCTTTGTGTGAGGTTATCCAGTGAGTTGACTTTTGAGCATCTTATTAAGTAAATACCCCAGCAAAATTCTGGAATCCTTTAAAAATGAATGAAATATATAGTTCAAATAGGCAGTTGGTGCACAGCACAACATTTAAAAGGTATAAAGGTATATGTGTATGTTTGTGTATACACACACACACACACTCTTTGGCCCATCTTGTCTACAACCAAACCATTGAGGCAACCACTGTTGCCGGTTTCTTGCATCTCCTTTCAGAAATATTTGGGCATCTTTATTATAGAGTGGTAAAACACAACAAAACATGAGATCTGTATAAAATATTATATTGATTCATTTTGCTTCATGTTAAGTATCTAATAAGCTGTGTCAGGCCCTGTGCTGGATCCATACCTAGAGTGCTAAGAACGGTGGGGGTGTGGGGTGGTATGAGGAGGGAGCAACAGGTACCAAATGACCATAATTTATACAAGGTAAAATGTGGTAAGTCAGGGAGAGTTCCAAGCTGTGACTGTATCACATAGTGGTCAGAACGTTTTCTCTGACACAGATTTGTCTTGCTCTCAGTATGACCCATGTGTAAGTGACCAAACCTCTGTAAGCCTCTCTTTTTGCATCTGTCAGAACAGACAAATAATAGTACTTACTTCACAAGGTTGTAGAAAGGACTAAATAAGACAAAGTAGGGGGTAGGGTATAGCTCAGTGGTAGGGTGCATCCTGGGTTCAATCCCTAGTACCTCCCTTTAAAAAAAAAAGTATACATTACATAATGCCTGGTACATATTAGGCTCTCAATGAGTGTTAACTGAAAAACCCCAGTATTTTAGCTCTCAATAAATGCTGGCCATTATCATTCAACCCTACATTCCATTGTTGGAAAATTCACAAAACTGTGAAAACAGGACTTCTTTTTTAAAATTCTTTTTATTTTTATTTTTTATTTTTAATGGAGGGAGGTAATTAGGTTTATTTATTTAGTAGAGGTACTGGGAATTGAACCCAGAACCTCATGCACGCTAGGCATGCACTCTACTACTGAGCTGTATCATCCCCCAGGACTTCTTTTTTTTAAAAGCAAATTTGGCTACAAAATATAATCCAAAGTGAGGCTATTAGTACGAATATTCATAAATGTACCCACATTAGTATGAATATTCATATGCTTTGCTGCAGAAATAATCAGTGTGTTTGGTTACTGAGTGCTGCCCCAGGTTCTGCTGGGAGTGTTAGATTATGAGCCTGTACTCTAGCTAGCGAGAAAAGGGAAAGTCTTCTTTATTGAAGGCTTGTTTTTCTTAGTCCATAGTATTCTTTTTCATCTTACATATCTCAGTAAAATCCTGAGGAATCCTCCCAGGATTTAAACTCACAGCCCCTTGATTCCTGCATATCCAAGGACTTGTGGGAAGAAATACTGAGCTTGGAGTTAGGAGGCTTGATTTCTTTTTACCAAGCTTCTTTAGGTCTGGTTCATTATTCCTATGGCAACGCCTAGCAACAGTGCCTGGCATTTAGCATGCCCTTTATAAATATATATTGAATAAACTCTAAAACGAGATAGTTCTTCACTCGTAGGTTCTGATTTCTTCCTTCCTTCCTTGCTGTCTGCCCTCCGTGGGTGAGGGTGCAGGGAGGAAGGATAAATCAGTCTTCCGGACAAGAAGGGCTCTAACGGAGTCAACTCCTCTACTCACCGCCTCCCTACTAGGAAGCTGGATCCCCAGTCCCACCTCTTCGGCATGTCTGAGGGTCACTCCCCTAAACGGGGGAAATGGTCTTACCCTCCTCCCCTTTCAACACTTGAAAATAAAATAATCCTTGGAACTGGGCTCTCAACTATACCTAGATGTCCACACACGCCTCGGAACCTCCTCCCGCAGAGCGCGGGAGCCGCGCAGGCCCAGAACCCTCGCTTGGCCGGCGAGCTCCGACCCCCGCCCGCCCTGGAGGACCGTGGAGTGGACGCTCTTGCAGAGCGCCTCTCGCTGGTCGGGGCGGGGGTGGGCGGAGCCAGCGCCGCCCGGGCCGTGGAAGCCGAGGGTGGGGACACTCTGGCCCGGCTCTCGGTGGTGCGGGAGCGGGAGGGAGCAGCGGCCGCT